TTCTGCCTCCCTCCGCCCCCCCCTTATATTTATCCAACAGTTTCCACGTCATTGTTGGCTCTAAAAGATGTTCTGTGGAGGGGAATTCACACACTTTCCTTCCCAGCCCCTCCTTCACTCCACTGAGATCACACAGTTGGAAAAACTTTCTAAAACAGCTTTTGCCTCTTGATGTTGTTACTGGATGAACCCTTGTGCAGGAGTTTCAACCACCACAATGAATCTGGGTCTTATAAAGGCCTGAGAGCTGGGGTTCCTTCACTTGTGTCCATGAAGAGCTGGACACGAGATACAGGAGAAGAAATCCCCTCATTCCCACTCAAAATGCCTCCCCCTCACTTTTGTGAACTGGATTCTGCCCACTGGCCAAGGCTGCCCACCTTGGCCAGGTGAAGTAATAGTGAAAGACAGAGAGATGAGACCCTGAGCAGCTCAACCAAAAAAATTCCCAAATTCATCTACGTGAGCAAAAAGTGCAGGAGCTCCATCCAAAAGGAGGAGTTTAAGTGGATCGGCTGCGTCTCAGAGCTTGTTTGTGTTGATGTGTTTCCAACCACTGCTTTTTTTCTGTCTGGGAACTTGAAAGAGCCTGAGCAGGAGGGGTTTGGTTTGGTTTCGTTTGGTTTGGTCGGGTTTGGTTTGATTGGGTTTTGTCTCCTTGCAATCAGCAGCGCTCCCAACTCCCATCTCCTTAGGACGCTCCCGATTCTGATAGTGAGTCACTGCGGGCGCGATCGGAGCTGATCCCCAAACAGGCTGATCCAAAATCCCTCCCGCAACCGGGAGGCGGCTGGGCTGTAGCAAGGGGGTGCTCTCACCCTGGGAGTGGAGATGTGGGAATATCCTGCTGGAAATGCAGCATTTTGCTGGGAAAACTTCACCCCTGGCTCCGTCCAAACCCAGTGGCTCCCGATTTCACAGCAGCAGCAACCTCAGCCATGAGACCTCTGGGTGCTGAAAATAACACAGTGTTACTGAAAATAAATAAACTCTGCTCCAAGCATGGCAGATCCATGGAGATTTGCTTTCCTATGCCTGCCCATGTGAACTGGCACAACTGTGCCAGGAGCCTGCGGACAGGGGCCAGGCAGGGAACTTGCCTTTGACTCCCAAATTGCTTATGCAAAGTCACACCTGGGAACAGGAGCACAGGTTTTAATTAAAGTAGAGGGAAAGGATTCATGTGGAAGGGAATCATTACTTCCCCAGCTCTTCTAGGAAAGCCTGTTACTGCAGACAATGGCAATTAAGTTGACTATTACAAAGGATTTGGAAAAGCAAAGCAAAGGATAGTTTAGGCACAAAACAAGGAAAATTCTTGTGGAATCTCAGAGTCACTCACACTTTCTTTTCTCAGTTTGTGTCACTCACATGTAGCGTCCCACTGCAGGTGCTGAGGGCTGCAGGAGGGCTGTGCTGGCCCCTCAGGTGGGACAGTTCCCTGTGAAGAGGCAGGACATGTCATGGGGGATTGTCTGGGGGGTGAGAGCACTGCAGAGAAATGGGAGGAGGAACAGGGCTCCTATCTGCAGGAGCTCAGCTGCCTCTGGGCTCTGATTTGCTATTTTTTCAGAAGGGACTGGAAAAAAGATGTTAAAAACTCTCCAGGTTGGTTAAGGCTGGGTTGTCATGAGCTGTGTTAAATCCTCACACCCAGCCTGTGCAATTTGGTGAGGTCAGAAATCGAGGCTACTCAGAGTTTATTTTTAACCTTCACTGTTTTTTTGACCTGTCTGCAACATCCTTTGGACAACAGAGACTGAGGAGTCTTGGTGGATGACAGGCAAGGATGACATGAGCCAGCAGTGTTCATGATCAGAAGGAATGGAATTCTCAATGGAATCCTGGAATGCCTCGGGAAAAACATGGCTGGCAGGTCAGGGAGGGGATCCTGCCCCTCTACTTGGCCCTGGTGGGACCACGTCTGGAGTGATGTGTTCTGCTCTGAACTCTACAGTTCCAGAAGGACAAGGAGCCCCTGGAGAGAGTCCAGTGGAAGCCACAAAGGTGATGAGAGGTCTGGACCACCTGTTTGATGAAGAGAAATAGCAGGAGCTGGGCATGGTCAGTCCGGAGAAGAGGGGACTGAGAGAGGATCCCAGCAATCATAAGAATATCCAAGTGTCCATTGAAATATCTCATTTGAGAGAGTCTCTCATCAATCCATGTGAACATCTAAGGGGTGGAAAGAAGATGGTGTCAGACTGTTCAGTTGTGCCCAGTGACAGGACAGGGATCCCAGAATCCCTGAGGTGGGAAAAGACCTCTAGGATCATGGAGTCCCATCTGTGCCCGATCCCCACCTCATCACCAGCCCAGAGCACTGCGAGGCTCATCCAGGTACCCCTGAACACCTTTAGGGATGGTGATTCTACCACCTCCCCGGGCAGGGAGAAATCATGGCCATAAACCGGAACACAAGAAATTCTACCCCAACATGAGGAGGAACTTCTTTCCATGGAGGTAGCAGAGTCCTGGAAGAGCTGCCCTGGGAGGGCAGGGATTGTCCCTCTCTGGAGACATTCCAAGCCCACCTGGACACCCTCCAGTGTCACCTGCTCCATGTGTCTGTGCCTTGGCATGGGGTTGGACTGTATGAGCTCCAGATGGTCCTTCCAACCCCAACTATTCTGGGGTTCTGGGACTCTGAATCTGGTTTCATCCCTGAATTTAGTCTTTCACTGAGGCTCCTTTGATTTCCTGGGCAAAGGGGATGAGATGTTGCTGTGTTTTGGTACACCTGGGTTTGAGAAAGGTTTTGCTGAAATGTCTCCTTTGAACTTGCCAGGACATGCTGGCATGTCTGCTCCTGCTCCTTCCCGTGTTCCTGCTCCTTCCCCTGTTCCTGCTTCTTCCCAGCTTCTGCCCAGAGTTATGCAGGGCCAGGATGTTGCAAGGTCAGGGCAGACAAAGCATCTGGACCTTAGAAATTCAATAAGGGCTTTGCAATAACATTGGGCTGAGGATTTTTTCTCCACTTTTTCTTTGTTTTATTCTCCTTTTGCACTGACTGACTGAAATATCTGCATCAGTGCTGTTGTGCTTCAGCACCCATCCCCAACGCAGATCTTCCAGATAAAGCCTCCCCAAGAGCCCTGCAGACAGTTGGGTTTGCTCTGGCTTTTTAAGAAAGCAAAAATTGAATCCTGAGGTTTTGCCTGGATGCCCCAAACCCTCCCTTGCATGGAAGAAAATATTTTGGATTAACCCAAATAAGTTAAGAAATGAATGGTGACTAATTATCTTGTCACTTATGGATAAACCTCCACCCTCCTTCTCTTCCTCCTCTTTCTCCCCCAGTTTTCTCCAATTCTTCAATTTATTTTGGGACAACCAATTTCAAGATTTTCATTATAATTTAATCAGAATTTCAAAGATTTTCCCTGGAAGTAAAAAAAAAATATGCCTCCAACTCATTCTGATGAAGGTTGGAAATATTTTCTATTGCTGGTTCTGGTTTAGAATAAAAAGATAAATACAAAGAACAAATAAATTACAATGTGGTTTTATTGGACACGTTCTAAACAGAGAGAGGAAGGGAAACATGGAGTCGCATCACTATTACGGAAGTATAAAAAGCTGCAATTTTCTTTTATAATGGTACTTTCCAAAAATAAGAAGACACAGTGGAAGTCTGGAGGAGTAAATTCCACCGGAAAAGGGGAAAATAGATTTGGGATGCTGGAGTTCCTTTGGGATCCTGCTCTCGACTGCCTTGTTTCCCACACACTGGGCTGGAACCTGCTGCACTTCCCAGATTCCCAAAGGTCTTTCTTGTGGCAGAAGAATCCACACAGAGAAGAGATGATGGAATTCCCCCAGAAGCTGTGGACATGGCCCTTCAGGCAGCTTTTCCAGTGTGATTTTTGCAGTCTCTGACTTTTCCCACTTGCTGCAACCAAGACCGTTGGGAAAGAGAGCAGGACTTGGATTGCTGGAGGATTTTGGAATTTTTTAAGACCTTCCAGCAACACCTTGCATGGGACAGGACAGAAACCCCATTTAACAGCAAGCACTGATCTTGCTTTTGAAGAACTTGTTGTGTCAGACATTATTTAGAATTTTAAAATCCTATACTTTAGAAAACAAGTCCTTTTTTATAGGTTCTGGATCAATCGCTGGTGAATCCTCTAACAAAAACTATCCCCAAACTTACATGTAAGGACCACTGTGGAAAACTCATTTAAGAAGAGAAAGGACAGGAATGGGAGAGTGATTTGGGAAAAGATTTTTGATAAGTTTGTGGCACACTGAATTCTCATCTGTGGGTAGAGGGATCTCAGGTTGCTGCTCCAACATTAGTGCTCTGAATCCCTGGTCAGGCTCAAGTGCCTGAGCTGACTCAGCAGCAAAACTTGGCAATATCTGGAATAATCATATCTTTCAAAACTTGGCTGTGAATGGAGGAAAAAGGGATTTTCCATCTCACCAGAGTGACTCAGAGTGAAGAAAATTTTAAGAGGGACATTACAAGCCACTGCCTGGGATCTTTGAGTAGCCTCCAGGACTATTTCTAGACAGCAGAAAAATAACCCAGACCTCTGATGCAGATGAGCTTCTCTTGTGAAGGAGCGAGTTGGGCTCATTCCAGCAGTGAAGGCAAAGTAGGGTGAGCTAAACACACATTCCCAGCCCACCCCTGGGCTTCTGGGATGAAGAAGCCAGAACTGAGCTAAAACTTTCCCTGCCTTTTGCTGTGTTTTAGCTGATGGCTGTGGGTGGCCACAATCACAAACTGCTTGGCCTTATTAAAAACAAATGGAAAACCAAAACAATTACCCATTCAGAACAATCACTTAGGCCTGTGTTTTCCTTTAGCTCCCGTTCCAGGGACTTGGAGAGCTCTGGTTTCTGTGTGTTCCACTGCTTTTCTTGACTTGAGATCCAAATGTGTGAGAATTACAGAGCAGGAGCAGGGCAGGGGCAGCTGGAAGGGTGGAGGTGAGGGACAACAGTGGGCAGGAGGAACAGAGGAACCATAGGAGGGTCTGGACTTGGCTTTACTCGGGCTCTGTGGCATTCTTCAGGCTTTGGCTTTTTATGCTCTTTTTGCTGGAGGAGGTTTTGGAGACGATTTTCACACCTGGGTTGGTGCCTTTTGCACTTCCAGAGCTGAAATTCCCTCCACTGGTGCTCAGGGTGCTGCTGCCACCCCCGGCATGGCTGTAGCTGCCAGCAGTGCCCAGACCACTCCCTCCTCCAAATCCACCTCCAGCCCCAAGTCCAAGTCCTCCTCCGCTTCCAAAACTGTAGCTTCCTCCTCCTCCTCCTCCACTGCCAGCTCCAAGACCGAAACTGCTCCCGCCGCCTCCTCCAAGGCCAAAACCATTTCCAACACCTCCTCCAAGACCAAAGCTGCTTCCACCACCTCCTCCAAGGCCAAAACCACTTCCGCCACCTCCTCCACTCAGGCTCAGTCCACCAAATCCTCCTCCTAAGCCAGCTCCACCAGAAATGCCGGAGCTGGAGCTGATGACTGCTGCAATGAAAAGCAACCAGAGGGTTGGACATCTGCTTGTCAGCCATGGAATCTGGAATGGGATGGGATGGGATGGGATGGGATGGGATGGGATGGGATGGGATGGGATGGGATGGAAGGGGCCATAAAAGTTATCCCATCCCTGCCATAGGCAAAGACTTCTTCCATTATCCCAGGTTGCTCCCCTCCCCGTCCAACCTGGCCTTGGACACTTCCAGGGAAGGGGCAGCTACAGCTTCTCTGGGGAGTCACCCAGTTCCAGGAAGCACCGTCATCAGGACCTTGACCCACAGGACTCAGACCCAACTTTCATCCCCTGCAAAAGCCCATAATGACAGGAGAGGGTCCCAAAAGTCTTATGTGGGGCAAAACTTCCCTTTTCCCATGGTTTCTCCTAAACCTTGTTCCCAAAGCCAAACTTTGGGATCCAGAACTGTCATACTTACAGTAGCTGATGGGGTTCAGTCCCTCCCCACTGAGCCTGTTGGGGGATTAGAGAAGATTAGAGCAAAATTATGGATACAGGCAGAAGAACCAATCTCTGATGGGAAAAGGGATAGTCACTATTATCCCCACAAGGATTTTGCTCCCACCTGCTCTCCTCGCCCTCCAGCAGCTTCCTGTAGGTCGCAATCTCAATGTCCAGGGCCAACTTGACATTCATGAGCTCCTGGTACTCCCGGAGCTGCCGGGCCATGTCAGCCTTGGCTTTCTGCAGGGCGTCTTCCAGGTCAATCATCTTTGCCTTGGCGTCCTTGAGGGCCATCTCCCCGCGCTCCTCAGAGTCTCCGATGGCCGTCTGCAGGGTGGCACACTGCAAGGGATAGGGGGCTTGGAAAGCTGCTCTTCCCTTTGGGTGAGAGTCACCCAAGGAAGAAACCTATTCTGGCTGGGTCATTCATGGAAAATGTTCCAGCTGAGCTAACATGGCTGGAGTTGAAATGCCAGGCTGGCAAGAATGACTTAATAGTTAAATTTTATAGTGTGAAGCCTGTTCCAGGAGGGAATTCAACACCTTTAACCAGGCTGGAAAAGTCCCTGATCAGCACAGCAGAGCTGTGGTGTTGAGGGATAACAGAATGGGGCTCTGTTGGCTCCTTTTGCCATTCCTACCTGGTTCCTTGTGTTCTCTATCTCGGAGCGGATCCTCTGGATGAGCCGGTTGAGCTCTGAGATTTCACCCTTGGTGTTGCGCAGGTCATCACCGTGTTTCCCAGCCGTGGCCTGCAGCTCCTCAAACTGACGTGAGAAGGAAGATGTAACCTGAACCATCTGAGGTGTCTGGCTGGACAAGACATGGCTCAAACAGCCCCTCTTAGGGGCAGCAGGGATTTTGTGTGGCATTGATGGGTCAGCTCACCTTGGTTTGGTACCAAGCCTCGGCCTCGGCGCGGCTCCGGGTGGCGATGTCCTCGTACTGAGCTTTGACTTCGGCAATGATGCTGCTCAGGTCCAGGTCCCGGTTGTTGTCCATGGACAGGATGACAGCAGTGTCGGACACTTGGGCACTGAGCTGGGCCAGCTCCTGTGGGAAGCACACGGGCACTGCATTTACCTCTCCCAACACTCAGAGTGGTGGCATTCTCCAGCCAAGGACAACAGCAGGACAGGAATCATGGATTTGTCCCTACCGCCTCATAGAGAGCTCGAAGGAAGTTGAGTTCATCACTCAGGGCATCCACCTTGGCCTCCAGCTCCACCTTGTTCATGTAAGCAGCATCCACATCCTGGAAAAGAGCAGCTGTAGGGACACCTGTGGCACTTGGATCCTCTTCTCAGCCAGGAAGAATTTCCTAGCCACAGCCAAGAAATGGCCAAGCCTGGAGACAAGGCTGCCCCTTTCCCTGCTTCCTGGTAGAGAAGCTGTGCTTGGCACATCCCACTGGAAGAGCACCAAGACGGCATCTCTTGCCCCAGAAAAGTTCTGTGTGTAATTTGGAAGTGGATAAGGAGGGAGGTCCTGGCTCTTTGGCCTTGGTACCTGGGATTCCCAAGCATGACTGATCCCCTTTGTCTCTACATGGTCTGTTTTGCACCTATGTGTGTTGTGGGACCAGAGTGGGAGGAGATTTTGCTTCCTTCCTACAAGCCACTCCATTCCTTTCCCACAATACTATGAACAAATGGTGATTTAAAATCCTTCTAAAGGATGAGGATGCAGCTCCACGAGATCTCCCACCCCTCAGGATATTCCCAGTTTGTGCAATGGTTGGGGTTGGCTCAGCATCTGCAGTGCCTCCTGTCTCACCCACCTTCTTGAGCACCACAAATTCGTTCTCTGCTGCTGTGCGCCGGTTGATTTCCTCTTCATACCTACAGGGATAAAGGGAAAGAGGTGCTGGATCAGACCTCAGGAAGAAGAACAAGTGTCCAGGTAGGACTGAAAAGTGATCTGAACTGGGGATGGAATCTCCAAATCAGCCTCCTGGGAACTGTCCAGCTCCAATGTGTGAGATTGCCCTTTCTCAAAAGACTGAAAGGACATTTTTGACTTAATGCAGATGGAACAAGGTAGGTAAAGCTGGTTTAGAGGATTTTCCTTTGCCACAGCTATCACAAGGTGCTGTGTGGTGGCTGAATCTCCATTTTTTGATGGGAAAAATGTTGATGTACCCTTTTTGGTGCTGTTGAGGAAAATGGGTCCTGCAGGGAGAGATACCTCTGAGCAGGGAGTATTGGAGGTGATTAGTGATGTTCTGTGTTACGGGTTGGAGCACAAACTGGAGACACTTTTTCCCCTTTCCTAGAGAAATTTCCATTAATCCTTCAGTCTGGATGTTTGCCTTTCAGAAACTGAATTTTTTGACATGAATCATAGAACCATGGAATTTCAGAATCATAGAACCACAGAATCATAGAATTATAGAATCACAGAATCCTAGAATTACCGAATTATAGAATCACAGATTCAGCTGAGTTGGAAAGGACCCATGAGGATCCTTGAGTCCAACTCCTGTCCCTGCACAGGACACCCCACCAATCCCACCCTGTGCCTGAGAGCATTGTCCAAACACTCCTGGAGCTCTGGCAGCCATGGGACCATTCCCTGGGGAGCCTGGGTGAAAACTCCTGCTGCTCAATGTTCAGCTGAACTGTTTACACCCCATTTCACACTCACTTGTTTTTGAAGTCCTCCACGAGGTCCTGCATGTTCTTCAGCTCCCCATCCATGCGTCCCCGCTCATTGAGCAGGTTGGCCAACTGCCGCCGCAGGTTGTTGATGTAGGCCTCAAACAACGGGTCCAGGTTGCTCTTGCTGGAATTGTTTTTTTGGCCCTGCTCCTGCAGAAGGGTCCATTTGGTCTCCAGCACCTTGTTCTGCTGTTCCAGGAAGCGAACCTGAGCGTTGGGAAGCAGAAGAGGCTTAGGCAGAAGATACCTGTGAGCTGACAGCCAATATTCAACACTGGCAGTGATGCATGGTAGGAGCCAAAGGATTCCTGAACTAAGAGTTTCCAAGCTGGGAATATCCTCTGGATTATCCAGGGCTATGTTAGCCCAACCTGTAGCTGAGCAAATCCACCCTCAGTGTACAGTTCTCTTCAGAGGCAATTTGATTGAGGAAGCAAACGAGCAATGATAAGAAAATTTGGGTTCAGCTCTTTCTTCACCAGACAGTGAAGTTCTTCTTTCACACCCTCTGGGGTTTCTTTCTTTGTAAGATGCATATCTTTCTTCATTAAAGCCAAGGTCTGAGTACTAATGCTAAAAGGCTTAATTGCCTTTCCTTTTGCTCACACATAAAACATATTTATTCAATTAAAAGCTGAGGAAGGACTTGAGTGGTTGAGTCAATTGAGTCAATATAAAAAGGATTTTATCTTGCAGGCAATAAACAACAAAGACCAAGACATCTGCTGTCATCACCCAGAGAGAGCTGGGTTGAGCCACTAGACCTGGACCCGAAAGTGACTTACTCCATTTCAACTAATCTCTGTTATTTCCCAGGCACAAAACCTGGATCTAATCCCATTACTTAAATTTTCTTGTCTTGTTTTCTCCTCTGTCAATGTTCAGAAGGACATTATTGTCTAAGGGAGTTAACAAAGACATGCAGGGAGGAAAGACTGGAGATCTCTGAAGCTGTATTTTGGTACCTACTAGATCCTCACTCCTCCTCTACCACAGATACACAGCACCCAATGAAGTCTCACCTTGTCGATGAAAGAAGCAAATTTGTTATTGAGGGTCTTGATTTGCTCCTTCTCATCTTTCCGAACCTGTTGGATGTTTGGATCTATCTCCAGGTTCAGCGGTGCCAGTAGACTCTGGTTTACAGTCACTTCTTGGATTGTACCCACTCCAGATGGCCCACCAGAAAATCCTGGGGGGTTCCTGCCACCACCCAGACCCACAGGGAATCCTCCCAGACCCCCCAGTCCACCAAAGCCAAACCCTCCACCACCTCCATGACCACCACCATAACCAAGCCCACCAGCACCTCCACCAAAGCCAAATCCACCACCTCCACCACCAAGCCCCAGCCCAAGGCCACCACCAGCTCCACCACCAAATCCACCAGCTCCACCAGTGCCAAGCCCACAGCCACCCCCTCCGCCGCCACCCCCCAGGCCAGAGCCACCAGCAGCTCCACTTCCAAAAGCAGCTCGGAAGCTGCTTCCGACCCCGATGGAAATTCTCTTGCTACCACCAAGGTTGTAGAGGCTCCTGCTGCCAAAACCTCCACCAGCGCCAGAACTGCCACCACCACCTCCTCCAATGAGCCTCCCAAAGCCACCTCCTCCTCCTGATCGTGCCACAGACACAGAGCTAAAGCCAGCCCTGTTGCTGCTGGGAATTATGGCCGAGGCAGCGCTGTAGGATCGGCCTCCACCTCCTGCCCTCATGCTGAGTGTCCGGTTCATTGTGGCAGCAGAGAAGGGGCCCGCACAGCCAGAGAGACTCTGCAGCTCTCTGAGGAAAGCATTCGGCTGCCCCTTTTATCCCCCAGGGATCTGGGCTTGGCTGCATGGAAGTCCAGTGATCAATTTAGTGCCTTCATGGTTTTGACGTGCCAGGAGGCAGCTGTCTCCCTGAGACATGTTAAACCCTGATTGCACCCAAACACACCTCCTGGGGCTGGATCTGCTCAGCTGGAAGAGTTATCTAACACCCAGATCTCTCACAGGGAGAGCTCAGCCTGATGCAAAACCTCTGTCACCTTGCAGAGATGAGTTATTTTATTTTGTATTATTTTGCCTAGCCCTGGAAGTGTCCGAGGCCAGGTTGCAAAGGGCTTGGAGCAACCTGGGTAAATGCAAGGTGTCCCTGCCCTTAGGGAGGATGGAATGAGATGGGCTTTGAGATTCCTTCCAACCCAAACCATTCTGGGATTCCATGATTCTATAATTTCCTTACTGTGAAAGAAAATAAATTTTAAATGTTATAAAGCCAGAAATAATGTCTTGGAATCCCAATTCAACTTAAAAAATGCAGCATATCAACACAGAGATCAGTGGAGAGTCCTCTGGACTATCTCAAGTGAAAGACAGTGAGAACAAAATGGTTAAATCTAAACAAAAATAATTCATGGGGTTTCTTCACCTGGAGGCAGAAAGCAGCTTGATGTTCATGAAACCTGACATCACTTCTGGGGCTCTAACTTATCCAGTTTGCGGTTCCTACTCCCTGGGCAGGGACCATCTCTTTCAGATGACTTGACAAAGAGGTACTGTCAAGTTTTCCTTTCTCTTTTCCAGATGTAAATACTACTTCAAATTTTGCCCATTTGTATTCAGTATTTAGCCTATGGCAGGCTTTGTAGGCTTTTCTTCTGGATATTTGCATTTCCAGAGGACAACTCCATTCCACGCAGAGGCTGTGTTGTAATTTCTCCAGCTAGCTGATGAAGAGATTGATGCATTTTCATCCTGACCTAAAAAACATTTCAAAAAAAGAGGCAGATTTTCTCAAAAACTCTCTGCCCAGCTCTGTGGAATGATGTCATTTTCCCACTTTAGGATGTAGTCAGTCCTGAGTTTCTGGCTCTCTCTAGCTCTGATTTCTTTTAAAGACCTTTGAACCTTCCATCTAAAATGCTGCCAAAAGCGGATTTAACCAGCATTAAAAATATTCCCACAAATTCTCCTTATTTTGCTTTCTGGAGTCCTTGGGAAAAAAGATAAATTCAACAGGGTGTGGTGACATTTTCTGGCATCTCAGACTTTGTGGAACTGCAGTGTTGAGAGTATTTTATCCCTTGCATGCCAGAGCTCAGCTGTTTTTCAGCATGGGGCTGCCCTGGTGGCTTTGCCTGAATTCTGCAGGTCTGGGGCTTAAATATATTTACAGGACAGGACTCTACTTGTCTTTCAAAACACATCTCTGTGCCCCAGAGCTACAAAACCATTGAGGAGCTAAAATCCCACTGGCTTCTCTGGAAGAAGGTTTAAACAGGTGCTACTGAATACAGAAGACCAAATATCTGATTATCGCTGCAGAAATGCTGCTGGACAGGCTCGAATGGGAGGGCTGGGGGACTGAAAGAGAATTTCCCTTTGCAGTGAGAAATTATTCCAGGATGGTGCAAGTCAGCTTGTTTCTTTTGGGGAAATGTGGGTCTGAACCTGGAATGTCACTTGAAATTCATGAGCATCCATTGCCTCAATGATTTGCATAAAATTCAAAGCCAGGGTGCGATGGGAAAATGAGATTTTGTCTTCATGGTTCCTTGACCCCAGTAAAGGCAGCCTGTCCTGAAGCTGAAGAACAGGTTCAGATCAGATGTTAGAGCTGAATGAATGTAATGGGATTAAAGGTGGGGCTGCCAAGAAGAAAGAGGGAATTGTCACTTCAGGCTCCCACACTCTTCTCCCCTCGGCTCGTTATCCACAGGGTATGTGACCGAGGCAAAGACCACCTGAAAAACGCTCCCTTTCCTTCCTGGGGCGGTTGGTGGTGTGGAGGAGCTGAGGGCTGAGCCTCCAAACCCAGAGGCAGATGTGACCTTTTTAATGTCTGTTTGGATCAACTCTGCCAGGCTCTGGGCTCAAGCTGAAAGAGGGAAAGTCAAAGTTGAATATATGGAAGAAATTCCTCCCTGTGAGGGTGGGGTCACCCGCCCTCAATGGATTTCCCAGAGAAGCTGTGGCTGCCCCATCCTTCAAAGGGTCCAAGGCCAGGCTGAATGGGACTTGGAGCAACCTGGGACAGTGGAAGTTGTCCCTGGCCATGGCAGGGGGTGGAATGAGATGGTTTATAAGATCCTTCTAACCCAACCATTCCATGAATCCATAGTTTTGGACTCTATCAATTTACAAAAGGGTCTGTCCAGATTTACACTGTGCAGGATTTTACCCCCATCCACCCCAAACCCACATTCCCGGCTTTTTTCTCTCCAAAATACCCTGATCTACATGAACATCTTCAAGCAGGCATCAGCAAACATGGCTTTTGCAATAGCTGGGATTTGAGGACAGGGATGATTAAAGGTTTTTTCCCAGAAATGCAAGAGCTGCCAGACAGCTTTTGCCCCCTGGGGAGCTGGCTGGTGTTTGGTGTTCAGGTATTGCTTTGCTGGGAGATGATCAACATAAATTATGAGCTGTTGGGGCACTGCAAGCTTCTTGTTTTGGGTGTTTCTGCTTGGTATTTACATAGAAATGAGATGGAGCCTGTGTCGTGTTCATGGAGCAGAAAAGATGAAGATGTTTCCAAAAACATCTTTAGCAGAGTAAGTTTTGCTTTCTCACCAAGGGCTGACCCACTTGGCTTCCACTACCCCCCAGTGAACTGTGACATTTATTAAAACAGAATTAGTGCTCTGCTCCCTGCTGATCACATCCAATATACCACGAGGGGAGCCAGAACGCCCAATGCTGGGAGAGCAGCAGAGGCCAGAGCTCATCCCATACTGGGTTCATCCCCAGCCCACCAGCGAAGACAGACTGAGTCTGGGATGGGGGCTGAGCTCATCCTCCAGCCTGCAGAGGTCAAGGGAAAGAAGCCGTGAGTCAGCAGGGAAGTCTTGGAAGCAGAGTAGGCCATGGGGGAACAAATTCCAGCCCCTGGTTCTTGTTGAGCCTTTCATGGGCACGTGATCCTGCCCACACCCTGTGCTGCTCCAGGCTGGACACAGGGATTTCTCCAAGGGTGATGCAGAGCTGGTTCAGGGCCTGTTGGCACCACGGGGAGCTGCGGGAAGGGAGGAGCTGCAGGGCTGGCTTGTTTTCCTGCGATTCCAGCTGGGCTGAGCTGTCACCATGGCAAGATCCTCCCAGCCAAGTTACAGAGACCCATCAGGGGTCATGGTCCAGGGGAACTGGGAGCCCTGCAGAAGACCAGGAGTGCTGGGACAACACTCAAACTTTTGGTGGGACTTTTGTGGTGTTCTGTGCAGGGCCAGGACTGGGATTCAATGATCCTTGTGGGTCCCTTCCCACCCAGAGTACTCCATAATTCTATGAACCTCATAGAGAAAAGGAGAGGACTGTGTGATTTCTCCTAAATCCCAGTTTCCTAAAATTGTGAGACAGGGTTTTCCCTCCCTGGAAGGGATGATGGAGGGCCATGTCTAGCCACATCTCCAGACTCTGATTTTTGTGTGAGTTCACATATTTTAAGGAAGGTGGTGGTTGAGGAAGAAGCCGCTGGTGCTGCATTTTGGGAAACTGCACTTTGCTCTTACTTCTAAAATCAACCCGCTCTCGTGAGAGGGTTTCACAGGTATGATGTGGGATTATTTTCCTGTTCCTCCCTGAGCTGGTTCTCACTGATTTCCTTAAACAAGGGCCTGGCTGCCTTTTTGTTCCATCTCCAGAGATCCCAGACACTGTGAGAGATCCCAAGCAAACTGCATACCCACAGATGGTTAAATAACCTCTTTTCCAGACTTCCTTGTGGCCACACTAATCAGTGGATGGAATAAAGGTATGCAAAAGTGCTTCAGGAAGGAGACCAGACAAAACCTTCTTGAAGCTCCAAACTCCACCTATTTGGAGACTCAGGTTTGAGGAAATTTCTTTGATTTGCAATATGAGGGAGGGAAATAAAGCCCAGGCAGTGCAGCATGAATTATGCATGGAGTTTATTGAAGGTACAGCTGAAAGTCTGGAGTAAGCGAAGGGTAATAACTCTGTTCACTTACACATGAAAAGCTTTAACTCCGTCTATTGCACACAGGAAAAACAACACATGCATTTAACTACAGAAATATAAGGTGCTCATTGGGGTGTAATTAAAATCTGCTCTACCAAACGCAATGTAGCAACCTGGACCAATTTGCATAAGCATTCCCAACCCTCTTGTAAACAGGAAAAATTGGATTTTCTTCTGTCATTAAAGAAGTAAATTACAGCTGCAGCTTTGTCTTGGACAATTAAATTGTGGCTTCTCTCTCTGAAGTTAGGATGACCAAATTTTTCATCCTTTTGCAATAGCTGCATTAGATGTATCTACTGGAAAGGGGTCAAGCAGTGAAGGGTGACTGAAAAGCCAAGATGATGAGCAGAGACAGGGATGTTCTCTGGAATTAAAATCTCACCTGGCTGAGGGGGGCAGGGGGGAGTTTCCCCTGAGAAAACATCAGGGAGAGGGGTGGGTTTTGTCAGGCTAAGGGTTTAGGCAGAGCGATGTCCTAGCGCATGGTTGTGTGATCCCTGTGGCTGTCAGAGGGAGGGGGAATACTGTTTTATTGCAGAAATGCTGATTATTATAAAATCTGGCGTGCCGGGCCCCACCGGTCTCTACCGGGTCGTCCTGACCACGCGCACGGCTGTGCTGAACCGGTTGCCGCAGACCCCCGGGGCCCCGGGGATGAGCACAGCCCCGGGGCCGCACTGCTCCACGCCCGCGCACACCACGTTGCCCAGGTTGCCCAGGTTGCCCAGGTTGCCCAGGTTCCCTAGGTTGCCCATCCCGGTGGCGCACTGGACTCCGTCCACCCCGGTGATCACTTCCCTCCCCACGCAGCCCACCGCGCTCCTGGCCCCGAACCCTGCCCCGACCTTGGGGACACAATCCACGCTCCGGGTGCTGAACCCAGCATTGCCGAAGGACGAGACCATGCCCAGCCCCGCGCCGGCCGCTCCGGTCTTCACGGTGCATTTGCCTCCGATTCCAGACAGGGATCGGCACTCCCCGACCGTGCCCCCGCCGCTGACCACGGCTGCGGGAGAAGAACAGGCTCGGTCACGCCCAGAGCAGCGAAAACACGGCTTAAAATGAGTGCTACAAGCTTAAAAAGCTTGTAAGGAAGTCAAGACGGGTTTCATTAACTCACCAACGCTCACAGGGTTGCCGGTGCATATCCTGTCAAGGAGAGAAATGTCTCAGAGATGTATTTAGGGACATATTTCTCAAATTCACAGTCAAATAGAGCCCAGCCACTGCCTCCTTAGAAACCTGACATGTCCTACGGCTCTTTAGGTGCACCCTGCTGAGAGGTGCTTGTTCAAATTGCTCGCCAAAGCACTGCAGGGTTGGGTCCCTAATTCCACGGTCACGCTAATAGCCTATTCTCTTTTTGGATGACAGTGTGATCCCCTCTGTACCCAGTGGAAGGGAAAAGGGACCCTGCTCCCCTCTGCAGCCCTGGGTGCAGCATTTCTTTCTCCTCCCCTTGTCTTTTGCTGATCATCCTTACAAGGTGCGTCCAGGGCTGCTCCTACCTGCTCTCTTCTCCCTCCAGCAGCGTCCTGTATGTGGCAATCTCAATGTCCAGGGCCAGCTTCACATTGAGCAGCTCCTGGTAGTCCCTGAGCAGACAGGCCATCTTGTCCTTGGCCTGCTGCAGAGCTGTCTGCAGGTCAACCAGCTTCTGCCGGGCATCCTTGAGGGCGCAGTCTCCTCGTTGCTCGGCATCACAGATGGCTGTCTGCAGGGCTGAGATCTGGGGACAGCCACAGGAGGACATTCCAAAGTTTCAGTCAAGTAGAGTAAAGCCCAAGGGCAGGGATACCTTCCTGTAGCCTGGACTGCTCTAAACTACATCCAACCTGGCCTTGGACACTTCCAGGCACAATTCCTCTGGGCAAGAGGGCAGCCAAGCGTGATATTAAGGGGTATCTCCACAGTGTTGCTCATCTATTCCTCAGCCAGGAAGTGCCAGAGAGCCAAGATTTAGGCTGGACTTGTGGTGGCCAAACTATTTGGGATGAAGGGGACGGGATCTGGTGGCTGCAGCCTGGTGGGAGCCCACAGCAAACACTTATTCTGCTACTGCCAAATCAACACACTTCTTATTTGCAAAGTGAGAGATAAATCTTTCTTGTGTTCACAAGCAGCAGATGAGAAGTTAAAATAGACCTAATCTGGGGCAGAGGGTTCTTTGCAGCTCCACAGGGTGGGAGCTGGTAGGACAATGCCCCTTGACAGAGGAGCTGCACTCCCAAGTGGATCCATCCCTTCGTCCTACCTGTTTCTTCACGTTGTCCGACTCACACTGCAGCTTCTGGATCATCCTGTTGAGCTCAGCAATCTCACTCTGGTTGTTCCTCAGGTCATCACAGAACTTGCCCCGGCTGCTGTGGAGTTCCTCCAGCTGTTGCACAGGAAGGGGATTATGTCAGTGCACCCAAATCCTCCTTCCCAGGGCTCCCACCTTCCCAGGGAGATGGAAATCTCTGCAGCTGCACCAGGGTTGGTGTCCCCAGGGCACCACCCAGACATGGCCTCAGTCTGGATAAGGCAAATTCTCAGGAGAGTTCTGGACTTGCTGATCTTGGAGGTCTTTTCCAGACTCAAGGTTCTATGATTTGCCCTTTGGGAAGCAATGATGCTCCTCAGAGAGCACAAAGGGGACATCTCTGAACACTCTGATCTGCTCTGCTTGTACTGAAATGTCTCAAACCACACTTTTAAGGTTGGTTTGTGTTTGGGGTTTTTTGGTACAACTTTCTTAAGCAAACTGAAGCCAATACACAGTGTGAGACAGGTTAAAGTTGCATCATGGAGGATGGGAATGGTCTTGGGAATGGTCTCAGAAATGGTCTGTCACAGAAGTTAATGGAATACTCACCCTGGTTTGGTAGAAAGCCTCCACCTCAGCCTTGCTCTTCTGGGCAATCTCCTCGTAGCAGCACTCCACGCTTTTGATGATGCCCTCCATGTCCAGGTCCCGGCTGTTGTCCATTTGCACGATGACAGAGGTGTCACACAGCTGACAGTCCAGCTGAGCCCTCTCCTGCAGGACCAGAGCATCAGTTCCATTCCCTCAACCAGCCCCAGCCAGGCCAGCAGCAACCCCAGCCAGGGGGGTCTGATTGGAGGAGGTTCTCCCCTGAACTCCCCACATTGGGTTTTCCAGTTGGCCAACTTGTGTCCAGCAAGAGGTGGCAGCTGGGACCTGTTTCAGTGGCACAACATGGGATGGCTGCATGCAGTTCCCTAAGGAAGAGTGGGGAATCCTGATGAAGCAAGCCATTCCTGGCTGTGCCAGGGCTCTCCTGGATGGGGAATCCTCATGTTCTTTGAGCCCCACTGACCCCTACTGAGGGGGTTTACCTCAAAAAGGTGTCAATGCAAAGTGTCCCCTGTGTGTTTTGTTAAAAACTTATGGAATTTTAAACAGAAGTGTTATTTTCATAAAAATATTTTGACTACTGAAAAAAAAAAAGTGCTAGAAACATTTGGCCAACCCAGGGATGGTTTGAACTAGAATTTGAGAGGTTTTCAGGCAAAATATCCCTCCCCTTGTGGGCAGCAAAGTAGCAACCAAGACACTCTTTGCCTTCCCAAAGTAGGTGTGACAGCATTGCTATCAAATACATCTACAAGACATAGTTTTGGGCTGCAGTTCCAGGATTTTCAGAAAAGACACCTTTCCCTTCACTCTTGGTCTAAGACTTGGGTGGGGAGGGCAGGAGATGATGCCTCACCCCAGGGAGCAGATTGGGCCAGGTGCTCTTACCTCAGCGTAGATGCACTTCAGGAACTCCAGCTGCTGCCGCAGGAGACCCACCCTCACCTCCAGCTCCTCCTTGGTCAGGTAGAGACAATCCACATCCTGGAGAGATACCAGGCATTTGGTGAAAAGAGATGAAGGAACGACTATGGCAAATCCCAGGTTTTCTTTAGATTAGGAGAAAACCCCACTATTTCCAGCCCTTAGCGCTATGTGCTGAAAACCTCAGAGGGGCCCTCCAGATTCCTTGAGTTGCCTCCATTTTGGGGCATCACGCTGTGCCATGGTGCCAGGACCCCCCACTTCTCCCAGTGACCCCAGGCCCAGGGCTTGCCCACCCTTATCTGGCCCTGACTCACCTTCTTGAGCACCACAAACTCATTCTCTGCTGCCGTGCGCTTGTTGATCTCATCTTCATACCTGCAGGAAAGCAGAGCGGGGGATGCTGAGCCCTGGGGGTCCCATCTCCATCACCCAGCCGTCCAGTGCAGACCGTGGGAAATGAGATTTCACTTTGCACCTCATTTTTTATCATTGTTTTTGCTTTATTGCTGTTTCTTTCCCCCTCACTGGGTTTTACTCAGCAGTTTTAGCCATGCCAGTGCTTTGGGTGGCTGGAGTCAGAGGACAGAAAATCCAGCCAAACCACCAGAAATGCAAAGCTGGAGGCTTGGGTTGCTGCTTCCAGCCCTTCTGCTTTGTGAGATGTTTTTCCAAAGCATCCAGGACTGTGCTCAGAGTGTTTATGGGGAGACTGGCCAAAATGCCCTAGGGGAAGTTCAGGAGCTTGAGCAACCTGTGAAACTCCAGGGTGCAGGGGGAGCACAGTCAGGGCATAATGAATCAGTAATTGGGACCTGCAAGAACTTTCACAAGATGCTGATTCTGTGAGTTGACCTGCTCGATGGTGGCTCAGCAAGAAAATAAGACCTGAAATTATGAACTCTGGGGAAAGTTGATCTAGTGACCTTTGTGGCTTAGCAGAGCACACAGGGAGATATTAAGGAGTATCTACAGCTTAGATTAAAGAAAAGAAATTCCCACATTCCCTCTGGGAAAAGAATGAATCCCAACATGATGTGGGTAAAGAGTGGAGTGGAGAAAATTGGCTGAGGGTTTTGTTTGTTTTGTGGGAATGGATGGCACTGGGGAAAACATAAGCACAGGTGGTGGGGAGATCTGATATGGCAAACCTCAGGGGTGTGCAGGAGGCAGAGGAAGAGTGGTTTCCTATCCTGCTCCCGAAGAAAACTGGGCTTGAAAACATCTCCCAGTCCATCTCCAGTGCAGCACTGGATGCCCAGTGCAGGAAACTTGCCCAGTACTGCGGTGCCTTGCCCTGTGTCCCAGTTTGTTGACCCATCCAGTGCAATTTCCTTAGATTCACACTCAGGGACACCACCCAGCCCAGCAACATCCGCGTCTGCAGCTTCCCTGTCTGTGACTTACTTGCACTTGAACTCCTGAACCAGGTCCCGCAGGCACCGCTCCTCGTTCTCCAGCCGCTCACGCTCCCCCATCACACACTCCAGCTGCTTCCTCAGGTTACAGATGAAATTCTCAAACACGGGCTCCAAGTTTCTCCGGGATGCTGGGAGCACATACTGCTGCAGCAGCTCCCACTTGGTGGTCAGCACCTTGTTCTGCTGCTCCAGCAGCCGCACCTGGGCAGGGAAGAGATGGGAGACTCAGGTTTTCCTGTCCCAGGGCTTCTGTACTTCCCAAAGGGAAAAGGGAAAATCAGATCTGAATTGCAAATGGTCAGGTGCTGCTGTCTCAAGGGGTTGAGTGGGACCAGCATCTTCTCTGAGCTAAACTGGTCCCACCCAGGACTCGAATCTCAGGCTGAGCAACATCAGTGCCTTCACTCTGCATGGAGACCAAGCCTGGGTTCAGCCAACGCTTGCTCAGCCAGACACCTCCACTCCTCCCCCAGAACTGGATCCTCGGCCTCCCTATGGGCCCAGGGCAGTAACAAGTCTTTCTCAGCACTAAAAGCTCCATCCAGAACCTCATTTGGATGCATCTGATTTAAACTCCAATCGTGAATACTTATCATGCCTTTCCACTTCTAGATTAAAGGGCTCTCTAGGAGCTTGATGGGTCATGAATAAGTCATTTTACAAATGGGAAGAAGCAGGAGTTGCTGCTCCTGGGTGGATTCAGTTTTTCCAGTTGCAGAACAACTCTCCAGGAAAATCAAGATCAGATCAGACAGAGCAGATTTTCTTTGCTGTTTGAAAAATTCTTTCCCATAACAGCTCTCTAAAGAATTATGAAAACCTTTAAATGTAGCAAAGAAAACAATGAAAAATTACATATTTTTAGGAAATCACCAAATCATTTTGTACACAGAGTGGAGGGACAGAGAAATTAAAATAGTTCCTCCCATTTTAGTTAAATTCATCCTTCCACATCACCTTCATGAAACACAAACTATTTTAAGAATGCAGAAGTCCTTTGGAGTTTATAGATTTGTGAGAGCAACATCAGATTATACACTTGAAATAAAATTTCCTATCCTTCAGTGTCTTCATCTCATCACTCACAGGTTTGGGTTTACTATATCCCTGGAGCTGGTCCTGACCCCTTTAGCAGGTTGGTAACCATCCAAGGGTACAACAGTGGTGGTGTTGCCTTGGTGAAAAGCTAAAATCCAGAGGGTCTCCAGGCCAGGACCACCATGCCTCATAAGAAACATTTCAGCACCAGGGCACCAGGAGAAATAGCTCCTCATGTTGTCTGTGGGACACGTACCCTTCAGAGCCGAGGGACACAGGGTGGGGAAAGCAGGGTCTCACCTTGTCGATGAAACAGGCAAACTGGTTGTTGAGGTTCTTGATCTGCTCCTTCTCGTGGGTCCGCACTTGGCACTCCTCGGGGTCCACGCCCACGCACAGGGGCTTGAGGAGCTCTGGGTGGATGCTGACGCCGCGAATCCCCTCGGACCTCCCTCCGCTGAGGCCAATGCCAATGCCACTGCCGTAGCCCCCCATGGCCACGCCATCCCCCAGGCCTCTATAGCTGCCCAGGCCCCCGAAGCTGGCACAGTTCCCAAAGCCCATGACGGTGCCAAAGCGGCCCCCGCCGTAAGCGACGCCGCAGCGCCCGACGCCGGCACCACCGTAGACGCCGCTGCGGCAGCTCCCACCGAAGGAAATCCTTTGCCCTCTGCCCAGGTCACAGACACTGCGGCTGCTGAAGCCACCGATCCCACACCTCCGTCCCACGGGCTGGCAGACGGAGGCCGAGCTGCTGTTGGCCCTGCCCAGGCCACAGACAGCGGATGCCGAGGAAAAGCCTCGTCTTCCCAGGATGGAGCCAGAGGTGTAGCACTGTCGGCTCATGGTGGCTGGGGTGGGTGGGCAGTGACGGCGACGTGGAGGAGCAAGAGAGGAGCAGGGACTGGAAGAAGGAGATCTCCTTTAGCTCCTCTGAGGCAGAACCCTTCTCCTTATATACATTTCAGGAGGTGCCTCAGATGCAAAAATTTAATTTATCCACTGGGTTTGGTCTGCCTGGCAGCAAGGAATGGCTTCCAACATTTTAAACCCACAGCAAACACTTCTATCTCATATGAAATAATGTGGAAATTAAAATAAACTGCTTTGCTTGCAAGCTTCAGTTTCAGGACTTATATTTTACTTAATTAATCTGCTTCCTTATTGTGTAATTATAGTTTAGCAAAATAATTCAAGGGGTTTTTATTCATGGCTTGTTTACGGTTTGGTTTCACCACAGCGTTTAATTACATTTCAGGACCTCCTGCAAAATGTCGTGGGGATGCCGCCCCTTTCAGGATCCATGGCCAGCTCCGGGCAGGCTCTTGAGCAATGACCGCTGCTGACAGGGAGAGGGAAGGCGGATCCATCCCGGCTCAGCACTGACGTTGTTGGGAGCGCTCTCGTAAGCATTTATTCCTTCCTCTTGTGGGGATGGCTGTGGCTCTTGGAGGCAATTCGGGTGCTGACCGTCAGGATGGGGTTGGTGGTTTCCGTATGGATGGAGCAGGAACCGCGTGAGGTGGTGCTGAGGATGAGTTTGGTCATGGGGAGGTTGCTCTGGGAAACTGAGGGTTCACAGAATCATGGATTTGGCTCAAAAGGGACCTTAAAGCTCATCTCATTCCACCCTCTGCTGTGAGCAGGGACACCTTCCACTGTCCCAGCTTGTTCCAAGCCTCATCCAGCTTGGCCTTGGTCACTTTCAGGGAGGGGGCAGCCACAGCTTCTCTGGACGACCTGTGCCACAGCCCAACGGGGCTTCCACTGCCCCTTAGCATACCTGAAATTGAAGATAAGGCATTTCTCGGAAATGAGAGTGATTTATTACTGAATTATGTACTCAGGGAAAGTGCTAAATTTTGAACATGGACATGATGGGACCAGGACACACAGCAGATTCACTGGAACAGGAGAAGTAACAAAGAAGGGAAGTGTTACAAGCAGGTTGAGAAATGTCAGGTGGAGTGAAGGTTTTCTCTGGTCACCTCTTGACACACCTTTTTGACATTAAATCTGTCCAGTAGTATCTGGTAATAAGAAGGCATTGTCCCATCTTAATAAAAATCCTTAAAAAGATTTTTGAATTTGCTTGGAAACAAAGTTCCTTTTTTGTCTTAAAAAAGAGGTCTAATCACAGAAACAAAAGGGATTGCAGAGCTTGCTCTGAGAAATCTTTACATCTTTGCTGGGGCAAAATTAACTGGTTCTGGGAGGACTCAGTGCTATTGTCAATGTGAACTGCACAGGAAGGCAGGAAGAAGAATCGGGATATTTAGAATATTTGTGGAGTATTTCCTGGAAGGATCTTTTTTTTTTTTTTTTTTTTTTAACAGATCTCATAATTGGTTTAAATGAAAAAAAATGCTATATTTAATTATAATCATGTAGTGGTTCCATTATAGCTACGTTGGTCTGAGTATACACAGAGGCACATTCATAATTGGTTTAAATGAAAAAAAATGCTATATTTAATTATAATCATGTAGTGGTTCCATTATAGCTACGTTGGTCTGAGTATACACAGAGGCACATTTTGCAATGAGATGTACTTTCATAGAATTGTGGAGTCGTGGAATGGTTTGGGTTGGAAGGGACCATAAAATTCATCTCATTCCAACTCCCTGTTGTGGCCAGAGACACCCTTCACTGTCCCAGACTATTCTCATCCGCAGATAGCTGGAGAAATCAAAGGAGCTTTTGGGCACCACACCCTTCATGTCACTTCGAGGTAACCCAGGCACTGGGACCTCTTGCATGTAAGTGAAAAGAGAAGAAATATTTTGGAGATGAGTTTTATTTTGAGCCAAAGCATTGGTGCAATCCCTGGAAAAGACTCTGGGTGTGTGAAGCCAAACATGGAGCACTGCCTGGGGACAGGGTGTTCACGGATAGGACAAAGCATCACTGAGCCCTTAGGGAGGTCCAGACATGACCTTCATGAACTTTTTTAGGCTGGCACAACGACGGGCAAGCCTAAAAGAGGGAGAAGCCAGGCTCTTGTCCTGCTTTCCATGTGGCTCAGCCCTGCACAGCTGCGGGATCGGGAGCAGCTTCTGCTCCGAGCTCTGCTGCCCAGCAGAACCACAGAGACACTGCATGTCCTCTTCATGGCAAGAAAGACACGGCCCTTTTCCCTTGAGGACAACTTTCCAGTTTTTCCAGCTGTGAGAAATCTGCATCTGGCTGGGGTCAGGTCCCAGTGATCCCCCATATCTCTGCTCAGCCACCATGGAGTGCCTTGCACCACGTGGGTGACACACATTTAGGGCTGTAGACATTCCAAACCCCGGGTTTTGTTGGAAAACAGGGAAAATGCTGCTCATGGGACAATCACCCTCCACCAGCTGCAAACCCTGAGATCCCTTCTTGTGTATGAAGAGTTGTTGGGCTGTTCCTCCGCAACAAACCTGATCTTCAACCCCTGGCTCCTGCTCCTGTCCCTAAGAGGTGGCTTTTCCAGGTGCCCAGCCTTGCACATCAGAGGAAGTCAGTCCAGGGCAGCACCTGTGGTTTGCAGCTGCTGAGCTTTCACAAAGCCAGTTCAGAGTCACATGGTGGAGGTTCAACCAACTTCAAAGCAGGAAGGACTCCCAGGGGATTTGGGCTTCCCAAGAGAAGGTTTGCAATGGATTTCATGCACAGGTTGTCTTTCTTGAGATCTTTTCATGTGTCCACACTTTGTCCTGGCTGGTTGTGGGTGAGATGGTGTTGGCAGAGAGAGACCCAACCTTCTTTCCAAGGAGGTTATGAAACCGCTTCTCTCAGGGATTCATCTTTGATTGAAACCTACAGCTTCCATCCAGGTTTGCAGGGAAAACCCCCGAGTTGCTTGGCTCTAAACATTCCTTGAGCTGTGGTGGCTTTCATGAGACTTTAGAACCTTTGAGATTTGCATGTGCCCAGATAAATTCATTCTACTTAAGCACCTACTAAACTGGGACCTGCTAAGCCACCCCTGCAGACAGTGAAAGCCTGGGGGCATTTCCAACCTATTGTTGGGATTCTGGATGAAAAAAGCATCCAACAGCCTCCTGAGTCTGCTTTGTCCCAGTGAGAAGAGCAATTTTTGAGACCCTTTCCTTGAAAAACAGGGCTGTCAGGGCTGGTGCTGGTGGTGTGCTCCCTTCCTCCCTGCAGGCTCAGCAGTTTTTGTGGCTCCCCATGGAAGGGACACAAAGTCACCATTAAAAGGGTTAATGAGGCCCCCAGGACACCTCCCACTGGTTTTGCTGGTCCTGCTCTCCAAAGGTGGCTGTTCCCCATCTCTTAAGTGCAGCTTGATTCGGCTCCCACATCAAAGCAGACAGGGATTAGTGGGGACAGGGGTAGAGATGATGGTCTGAAACTGGGAACCAGTAACCTTGCTCCACAGCCACTCCTCACCCTCAGCCTGGGTCGTCCCCATCCATTTATGCTGCTTTGGGGCAAAGAGATGGAAAAGAATTCCTGAGGTTTCTTCCAGGCTGTTCCATGATTCCTGCCCATATGTACCGCTTGCATTTGAGGTGTTCCCAGGCACAACCTTCCCAAAACTTCACCCTTCCTTCTGCTGGACTGTGGGTGACCCTTGTGGTCCCATCACCAGGGTTGGGGTGTTTGACAGTCTGCTCAGAGAACAAAGTGAGAGAATAGGATCCACCTGTGTAACCTGGCAGCCAGGAGGGACATCACCTTCTGGGGGCACCAGGTCCAGCCTGGCCAGGCCAGGGAGGAGGATTGTCCTGCTTTGCTCTGGGCTGAGGCAGCCTCACTCCATTTGGGGCACAGATTTGGGTGCCACAATATAAGGAAGAGCTAAAGGTGTTGGAAAGGGACCAAAGAAGGGGGATGGGGATGGGCATGGGGATGGGGAAGGGGATGGGGATGGGGATGGGGATGGGGATGGGGATGGGGATGGGGATGGGGATGGGGAAGGGTCTGAAGGGGCCACATGAAGTCAGCCTGGAGGAGACTGAGGGAAGATCCCTCGGGGGCCTGCATCTTCATCTCAAGGGGCAACTCTAATCTCTGCTCTCTCTGAGCAGGGACAGGCCCCAGGGAACAGGAGCTGTGTCAGGAGGGTCAGGTTGGATATTGGGAAAAGGTTCTGCCTGCAGAGGGTGGTCAGGCACTGAACAAGTTCTCTAGGGAATGGTCATGTGCCCAAGTCTGCCAGAGCTCCAGGAGCCTTTGGACAGTGCTCTCAGGCACACAATTTTTGGGATTTTTGGCATGTCTTGTGGAAGGTCAGGAGCTGGACTGATGATTTGGGTGTGTCCTTTCCAACTGAGGATATTCCATGGTTCTATAAAATGTCCCCCTCACGGTGATGTCTTGTAGGAATATAAAAAGGTAAAAGACTTTAGAAAGTTGTTATTTTCCTGTGTGTTTTGCTTTTTGCTTGTGTGATACACACAGATAATAAATCCTAAGTCTGCAACCAGTCAGGGTCCCATCCCATTTGTGAGACGCGGACCTATCCGGCAGAAAGTCTCACGTGAGGAACAACCTTTTGCAAGAGACAGAGGTGTCATACCAACCACCACAAGTGTCCACCCCTTCCTTTGTAATGTTCCTCCTTTGCATAGGAATTTGTGAGGCATTTTGACATCATTCAGACAACTTTGTGCCAGTGCTCGGGGCTGAGGGACCACAAGGGCTCTGAGTAATGGGCTGGTATCAGAGTGGTGGTGTCAGGATGAAAGCAAAACAGCCAGAAAGGAGCACTGGAGAGATTCACCCTGTTGAGAAAGAGCCCCCCAAAGGCACAAGGTGTCCACTGGAAGAGTTTTGGGGAAAAGTTGGCAGAAAATCTCCCATGGGGAGTGCATCAGATGTGGAGGTGGGAAATAGGGCTGTGCTGT